TATCAGGTTATAATACAACAACAACAACAACAAAAACAAGCCTTTATCCCACTAGGTGGGGTCGGCTACATGGATTGCAAGACGCCATTGTGCTCTATCATTTATTAAGCTTTTAGAAATATTATTAATTAAGAGATCACGTTCAACAACTTCCAAGAGTGTTCTCTTAGGCCTTCCTCTACCTCTCTTAATCGGACTCAAAGTTATATGTTCCACTCTTCTCACTGGTGCCTCCCTTGGTCTTCTTTGTACATGCCCAAACCATCTCAACCGATTTTCTACCATTTTTTCCTCAATAGGTGCCACCCTCACTTTTTCACGTATGTGCTCATTTCGAATTTTATCTTTACGTGTATGTCCGCACATCCATCGTAACATTCTCATCTCTGCTACTCCAACTTTATGTTCTTGCTGTCCCGTTAGAGCCCAGCATTCACTACTATATAACATTGCCGGTCTGATAGCAGTACGATAAAACTTTCCTTTAAGTTTATTAGGCACCTTACGGTCACAAATAACTCCTTTAGCTTTTCTCCAATTAAACCACCCAGCTTGAATTCTATGTGAAATATCTCCACTGATTTCGCCATCATTTTGGATAATGGCTCCCAAATATCTAAACTTTTCCACTTGAGGTATAATTTGATCTCCCAATTTCACTTCCAAATTATTTTCGAATAGTCCTTTATCAAATTTACAATATAAATATTCCGTCTTACTTCTACTCAGACGAAAACCTTTCGACTCCAATGTCCTCCTCCATAACTCAAGTTTGCAATTAACCTCTTCTCTTGTCTCTGCTATAAGAACTATATCATCCGCGAAGAGCATACATTTCGGGATTTCCTCTTGAATATGTTCCATCAAAACATTTAAAATCAAGTTGAACAAATAAGGACTCAGAGATGATCCCTGATGTAGCCCAATCTTTATAGGAAAATCCTTTGTTTGACCACTAGGCGTTCTTATACTAGTTTTTACCCCCTCATACATATCTTGTATGGCTTTAATATAAGCAATCCGTACTCCCTTTTTTTCCAACGCTTTCCAAAGCACTTCTCTTGGTATACGGTCATATGCTTTTTCCAAATCAATAAAAACCATGTGTAGATTTTTATCTTTACAACGATACTTTTCCATTAATCCCCTTAGTAGATAAATCGCTTCTGTAGTTGATCTACCTGGCATAAAACCAAATTGATTCTCAGAAATACTTGTCTCCAATCTCAACCTGTGCTCAATTACTTTCTCCCACAATTTCATTGTGTGGCTCATGAGTTTAATCCCTCTATAGTTAGTACAATTCTGAATATCTCCTTTATTTTTATAAATAGGAATTAATGTACTTCTCCTCCACTCATCGGGCATTTTCTTGGACCGTAAAATCACATTAAATAACTTAGTTAACCATCTCACCCCTTCTTCACCTAAACATTTCCACGCTTCGATAGATATACAATCAGGTCCGTTAGCTCTACCATTTGCCATTTTCTTAAGAGCTTCCTTTACCTCCTTATCACGTATTTTTCGATAGAATGACAAATTTTGTTCTCCTTCACCAGTTACTAAATCCTCCAAGTTACTAGATGAATCCTCTCCATCATTGAAAAGTTTAGAAAAATAAGTCTCCCATCTATTTTTAATTTCATCATCTGTAACTAAAATTCTTCCCTCTTCATCCTTAATACACCTTACCTGTTCTAGATCTCTTGATTTTCTTTCCCTACTCTTGGCAATCTTGTAAATATTTTGCTCTCCTTCCTTCGTCTCAAGGTTCTTATAAAATTCTTCAAAAGCTTTAGAACGAGCTTCACCCACAGCTCTCTTAGTTTCCTTCTTAGCCATACGGTACCTCTCCCAATTTTTCTCATTGTTACACAAATGTATGGCTTTAAAACAGTTCTTCTTATACTTGATTTTGTCCTGTACACTATTATTCCACCACCAAGACTCCTTATCTCTCGGACCAGAACCTTTCGATTCTCCCAAAACTACTTTTGCAACCTCCCGTATCTTTTTAGCCATATCCTCCCATATGATGTTAGCACTTCCCTGAGAATCCCAAATTCCTTTATCCAAAAGATTTCGCTTGAAAATATCTTGCTTCTCACCTTATAATTGCCACCACCTAATCCTTGGTGTTACTACTTGTCGACGTTTTTAGATTTTACTCATAATACACACATCAAGGACTAGGACCCTATGTTGTGTCGTTACAGCATCTCCAGGGATCACCTTACAATTTTTACAAAGTTTTCTATCTGTGTTCCTAACCAAAAGAAAATCAATCTGCGACCTTGAGGCTCCACTTTTGTAGGTGATGAGATGCTCATCTCTCTTCTTGAAACAAGTGTTGGCAATCTTAAAATCATACGCCAATGAGAAATCAAGAAGAGTTTGCCCTTCATTGTTTAGCTCTCCAAAACCAAAACCACCATGCACCCTCGCATGCTGACCAGCTTCCCTCCCGACATGCCCATTAAAGTCTCCTCCAATAAAAATCTTTTCACTCTGTGGTATGTGTCGAATCAACCCCTCTAGATCCTCCCAAAATAATTCCTTAAGACTGGCTTCTGTCTCGACTTGCGGCGCATAAGCGCTAACAATATTAACAGTCTCACGTCCAATTATCATTTTTAAAGAAATAATTCTGTCTCCAATTCTGCTAACTTCTACAACGTTCTTCTTCCACTCCTTATCTATAATGATGCCTACTCCATTGCGTGCACTTACTTTTCCTGTATACCAAATTTGAAACCTTGAATATCCTTAGCTTCTTCTCCACGCCATTTTGTTTCTTGCAAGCAAAGGATATTGATTTTCCTTTGAATCATAACCCCTACAACCTCTACAGATTTACAATTTAATGTCCCAACATTCCAAGTACCAAATCTAATTTTGCTCTTATGGACTAACTTCTTTAGCCGCGTGCGTCCAGAATGACGCGGTAGCCCTTGCTCATTTAACACTACATCCGGGCGCCGATGCAGCGGCTCTAACTCACTTATCACTGTACTCGAGCCATGCAGCGCGTTACTTACGGGCAACGACCTAGCATTAACATTATAACGTCTATTGTCCATGTTCATGATAGATTCAACAAATTTTTACATTGGCTGTTGATGGCCTAACACAACCCTCCTCCTTTACCCGGGCTTGGGACCGGCTATAAACATAGGCGGAGTTATCAGGTTATAATAAAATTTTAAAAATTTGTTATGCAAATCCTAAATTTCAAGGATCAAATCTCAGGCAAATTTGAGAATCAGAAGTTACATTATCCCAAAATAATTTTGTCAGTTTGAAATTTCATATCTGATATATTTGTGCTTCACCATAACATTCTTCTCCCACCAAAGCCACATTAATTTCAAATGTAATTTCAACCAACTTCTCAAAATAATTAGAAATATTTTTTATATTCTTATTATTTTAAGAAATTTAAATAAATATTATAAATGTTCTACTTTAATTTAAATTTTTAATCTAAATAACTATTTTACTTACATTTTTAAAATTTAAAATATATATATACATATACATAAATCATTTTCCAAAAGAATTAAGTTTGTTCAGAAAAACAATATACCAAGAAGAAAAAAAGAAAATGTGTTGAAAATAATAATAAAGAAAGTCTATAATAATATTTACGTTCTTCTAATTTTTTTTGATAATTCCTTAATCATAATCTAACTTGTCAATCTCTTAATGATATTTATGGTGATAGAAAAGAATCTCTTAATGTTATTTAAATTTATATTTCATTATCTTAAAAATATCGTATCTTTCCTTGGATAGGATTGGAAAACGTATTTTATCTTTTAAACTCTTTCATATAGTGAAGTGTGTGTAGAAGGAGATTGGTGTATATTTTCTCAATTAATTCGTATTCTCAACATGTCGCCTGCATGCTATTATGATGTTTCTTATCAACCTCATCATCCCCATGTCCTTCAAAACTTAACTATACAACATTACAAAACCACAGCTCTAAATTTCAATGTCAAACTTTGCGTTCGTTTCCGAAGTCTTCTCTCTTCTGGTGAGGGACAAACGCTTGATATTCCCTCTCCAATTTCCTCTCATTACATATCATGCAGCGAATTTTTACTAAATGGTTCGAGTTTTCTACAAAGGAATCTATCCCACTATTTACTCACTCATGATGTTCTCGATACATTGATTCCCAACATCATATCTAGGGTCAAAGAATTGTACAATCCTGATCATCTTCCTCGTCCTTCAATCTCTCATGAACATGGGTTTGCTGTATATCCTTTAGCTATTGATATTATTGTTGAATTTTCCCCTATGGATATTGTGAATATGATGGAAGTGATCACATCCGAGTCCAGACAAGAAATTGGAATGATTCCTGCCTCTGAAGAAGCCATTCAATCTCTCAACAAAATCATTTCTCAAGAAAATACTGATGCAGACCAGTGTTGTATTTGTCTAGAAGATTTTTGTGATAGTGTTGAGATTTCCACAACGCCATGTCGCCACAATTTTCATAAAAATTGCATTTTTCATTGGTTGAAAATTAGTCATTTATGTCCTTTATGTCGTTACCCAATGCCAGTGGCTAACAATTCTTAAAAATTATGATTTCTTTTTATTTAAAGAAGTCAGAAAGATCCATTCTTTTTTGTTTATTTATATTATTATTTATGTGTTTGGATGCCTTTTTTTTATACGCAACTTGTGCAAAATATGAAGTTATCTAATATCTAATTTTAGTAAAAAATATTTCTCATCTTTTTGTTTGTAATATTATATGCCGTATAGAATACGCTCCTCCAGATCCCAAATCGTTCACGTCACTCCATGACTATGATTACTTCCCCAAAACGTTGGGGAATCGAGTTGAGGTTGTGAATATTCTAAGTGCAGGAAGTCAGTCAAAGGCTGCCAAAAATGCCAACGCGGAAACGAGTAGAATGCCGCCGTCAGTAATCTTACCATTATTTTATGTGTTTTCTGCGAAATTTATTAGCTTTATTCTCCCACGAACAAATGACTTGGAATTTTTGAGTTTACTCTGAGGCTGCCTCACGTTTGAATGGAATATGACATTCTCATTCTGTCATTGCTAAGCCCCCCAATCTGCCTGTCTGCTTTTTCGTCTGTGTCTTGTCTTTCTTCTGTGCTTTAATGCATCTCTACCAGCCAAACCCAACTCAACTTTTGGAGGGTAAAAGCTGAAAGCCTGAAGGCATAGGCCGGTGAATTCATGTTCATGGTCTTGATCCCCCTGAAGCCACCACTAGTTTCTTCGCTACTTCAGTCTTCAGTTGTATTAGTCTTGAGCACAGTATACTCATCCAATGAGAATATCATTACTTAAATGGCTTTCCTTCATTTTCAGTTATTATTGGGTATTTCTTAGCTTCCACGTCTATATGGTTTCTGGGCATTCTGTCCATTGTCTTGACGACCAGAAACTTCTGTTACTTCAATTGAAGAAAAACCTCAAATTCAACCCTCTTGATTCCAGCAAATTGGTGTTCTGGAATGAAAGTCAACGTTGCAATGAGTGGAGTGGCATAACTTGGAACGGTGATGGACATGTTGCTGGTTTAGACTTGAGTGGGGAATCTATATCTGGAGGACTAAACAATTCTAGTACTCTTTTTAGTCTTCATTATCTGAACAATTTGAACTTGGCTTTCAATAACTTCGGTTCAGTGATTCCATCTGGAATTAAAAATTTGAAGAACTTAACTTCTTTGAATTTGTCAAATGCTGGCTTTGTGGATCAGATACCAATGGAGATTGCTCACCTCACAAGGTTAACCATTCTTGATCTGTCTACTCTTTATTATCTAGGAGGATCAGCTCCGAAACTTGAGAATCCGAATCTGGTGAAGCTTGTTCAGAACCTCAGTGAAGTTAGAGAACTATATCTTGATGGCATTAATATATCGCTGAAGGGAAATGAATGGGGTCATGCTTTATCATCTTTTCTACCTCATCTACAGGTACTAAGCATGTCAAATTGCAACCTGTCAGGCCCCATCGATTCCTCACTTAAAAAGCTTCAAAATCTCTCCATAATTCGCCTGGATCAGAATAATTTGTCAGCCCCAGTGCCCAGCTTCTTTGCTAAATTCTCAAATCTAACCAATCTGGACCTCAGTTCTTGTGATTTGAGTGGTCGGTTTCCAAATGAGATCTTCCAGGTACAGTCACTCACTTCTCTTGATCTATCATATAATCATGGTCTTCAAGGTTCTCTGCCATTACACTTCCCACAGAACGGATCTCTCCAGATATTGATCCTAAGCATTACAAATTTCTCCGGAGCATTGCCACCTAACATAAGCAAATTACGGAAGTTGACCAGACTAGAGCTTTTCCAATGCCAATTCAATGGAAAACTACCAGATTCAATGTTGGATCTCCCTGAGCTCACTTACTTAGACTTGTCGTTTAACGAATTCATTGGTGCAATCCCATCATTTGGCATGGCCAAGAAGCTTACTCACATAGACCTATCTCATAACGAATTAAACGGTGGAGTTGTATCAGTTCATTTCGAAGGCCTCTTGAATCTAGTCAGCATCAATTTAAGGGACAATTCTCTCAATGGGATAATTCCTATGTCTCTGTTTTTGCTCCCATTGCTACAACATATACAGTTCTCCAACAACAACTTTCAAGGTCAGCTAGCTGCCATATCAAGGTCAGCATCGATTTACAGGACAATTCCCTCTAAGTTACAAGTACTTGATTTAAGTAGTAACTATTTAAGTGGGCCTATTCCTCAATTTATTTTTCATCTAGGCGGGCTTAAGATCCTTCAACTGTCTTCCAACAAGTTCAATGGCATGCTGCGGCTGGATATGTTTGAGAGACTTCAAAATCTAACTACGTTAGATCTTTCAAACAACAACTTGTCAATTGACGCAAATGTTAAGAATGCCAACTGGTTATTCTTTCCCAACATGACTAGTGTGAAGTTGGCATCTTGCAAGTTGAGACAATTCCCTAGTTTCTTCAGAAATATGTCCAGATTAACCAATCTAGACCTCTCGAACAATGAAATTAAAGGAAAAATACCCAAGTGGATTTGGGAGCTTGGCTATCTTGGTCAATTAAATCTTTCTCACAATTCAATTCAGGAGATAGAAAGAGTCCCACATAATCTTGGCCCTAACAATTTGTTTGTGCTTGACCTCCATGAGAACAACCTCCAAGGCACACTTCCAGCATTTCCTAAGTCTGCCTCTTATTTGGACTATTCTTGTAATAATTTCAGCTATGTTGTTCCCCCTGACATCGGTAACTATCTGAATTTCACAATTTTTCTCTCTCTGTCACACAATGCTCTCTATGAAAGAATCCCTGATTCCATCTGCAGTGCTTCATATCTTCAAGTGCTTGATCTTTCCTACAACAACTTTAATGGGGCGATTCCACATTGTCTAGCAAAAATTGAGGCTCTTGGTGTATTGAATTTAGAAAAAAACAATCTCAGTGGCAAAATTCCTGATACTTTTCACGCTTTATGTGCTCTTAAGACTCTCGATCTTAGTGGTAATAATTTACAAGGGCCAATTCCAAATTCTCTGTCCAAGTGCACCACACTAGAGGTGTTAGACCTTGGAAATAACAAGATGGATGATCGATTTCCATGCTCGTTGAAGATAATACCTACACTCCGGGTCCTGATTTTGCGAAACAACAATTTCCATGGTCCTATTGGATGTCCAAATATGAAGGGAATGAATTGGACGATGCTTCAAATTGTGGATCTAGCTCTCAACAATTTTAATGGAAAGCTGCCAGGAGAATGTTTTCCGACTTGGAAGGCAATGATGCTTGACGAAGATAAAACAGCGTCAAAGGAAATTTCGATTCACTTCAATTTCTTTAGATTTAGTCAAGTGATCAATTATCAGAACCGAGAGATAATTACCATGAAAGGTCAGGAGATGAACTTGATTAAAATTCTAACTATCTTCACGTCTATTGACTTTTCATCCAATCGTATTGAAGGGTCAATACCAGAAGAGATGATGAATTTTACAGCACTCCACGGGCTCAACCTTTCAAATAATAATCTCTCAGGCCTCATCCCATCATCCATAGGGAAATTGAAAGATCTTGAATCCTTGGACTTGTCAAACAACTCTTTTACCGGAAAGATTCCATCACAGCTTGCAAGTTTGTCTTTCCTTTCATTTATGAACCTCTCCTGTAATCACTTGGCAGGGAAAATCCCAATAGGCACTCAACTACAATCATTCGACGCATCTTCTTTCGTTGATAATAAAGGATTATGTGGACCTCCTTTAGTTAGCAAGTGTAGCAGGGATGAGAGAGGTTCAAAAAATGGTTGGACAAGTGTTGCATCCGCGGATTCAGGGGTTGAATTTGATTGGCAGTTTGTATTTAAAGGAGTGGGTTTTGGGGTTGGATCAGGATTGGTCGTTGCTCTCTTGATGTTTTGGGATGAAGGGAGAAGCTGGAGCAACAACAGCATCGAAAAAGTTCTTCTGTTGATTCTTACTATGATTGACTTGGTTACACCCACGAGGGTTTATGAGGTGGAGAATGATATTGAAGAACATAAATCAGGCATGGCAAGGGAGAATAATCATCACAATGAAGAAGATTGTAATTTTGATTGTCTAAACTTTGGAGGGAAGTACTGTGTTTTCTGCTCCAAGCTTGGCATGAGTATGAATAAGCCCAGTCATGACACATCGTGTACATGCCATCTCTCAACATCAGCTTCACCATCTACTGGTTCTTCAGAGTCAGATACCGATTCCTCTTAGTCACATTCACTATGAAAGCTTGCTCTTCTTTTTCTGTTTCGTTCCTTCGCTCCGTGTTGTGTTGTGCACACACCACCCATGTGTATAATGAAGCTACTTAATAATGAAAAACAACAATGAGAATAAACAATTAATGAAGTCGCTTTTACTTTGTTTTCGGTGTCTTTTGTGGTATCATGTGATCGACAAATTAGTAAAATGCTGCCAATGCTCATTCAGGACTTTCATCAAACAGTTTGAGGCCCCGTTGATACCCTCACTTGGGCACCAAAAATTGCATTTGAAGAAGATAAGAGAGAATCTCAGGGTAGCTAGGGAAAAGGAGCTGCTATAGAATTCACACTTCACAGGATAGAGAGACCGAAGTGATTCTCTTCAGCTTTTTTTTTCACTTTTTCGTTTTCTTAATTCTTTCGTCATAAGTTTGGTTATATTTATTTTCTATTTTTTAATCTAAACTAGCATTTACTACCCCGTGCGATGCACGGGAAGCAAATAATAAGCCAAACATTATTGTAAAAATACTTTCATAAAAGATAATGTCTTCAGCGACAAGCAACAATGAAAATTCAAATGGCAAAATGATAAACAATTGTATAATACATACATTATAAATCCATAGCTTTTGGAAACATGATAAGGTCTAATCTCTCAAGTTTTTAAAGATTTCTGTATACACCACATTTTTTGTTGTTGTTGATCCAACCTTTTCTTCATCATGTAATAAAATCTTGAGTCCATCAATGCTTTTTACCCTTGACAATGCCACATATAATTGTCCATGAGTGAAAACTGGTTTAGTTAGGTATAACCCAACATGACGCAATGATTGACCTTGGGATTTATTTATAGTCATTGCAAATGATAGAATCACTGGGAATTGTCTTCGTCGCATGCGAAATGGCCATCTACTTTCTGATGGATTCATGTCCATCCTATGAATTAAAACTTTTTGATGTTGCCTTGAACCATTCAATGTTATGCCCTCAATAACATTTTTCCCTAGCCGAGTAATGCGCAACCGTGTACCATTGCATAGACCAGACGCTTGGTCAATATTCCTCAATAGCATTATAGGTGCTCCAACCTTCAAAGAAAGAATATGTGGTGGTAATCCAGAGCAATTAATTGTGTTGAGAAACTCAGTTGTATACAAATCATCAAATGAATCGTTGTCTTCTGTAGACTTGCATACAGAGTCAGAACTAAAATATTCCATTGCTTCACCAGGTAGCAACGAACACATATAGTTATTAACTTCACTCACACTTTCAATAGTTGGAGCTAAAATTGCTCTATCGTTAAAGTATGCTATGTCTTCAAAATTGATAAGTAAATTTGGATAAGTGGAAGACACGATGGCATTCATAGGATCTTTTGAATTACAGATAAGCAAATTGTGAGGAATATCAATATTTGTTGTACCATCATGTGGTTGTCCCAGTTTCCCATCACCTACGTCTAACAACCACTTGCTAAATTTTTCCAAAGCATTGCTATCGGTATTCATAGAAGATGATGATAACCGCATATTCCTTGTTAGTTTATATATTTTGCAATGATCCCATAAAGGTGAAGAACTAATACATGCATTAACAATGGTTGCTCTTGTTCCTTTAGGTATGACAGGAAGTATTTGACGGAAATCGCCACCCATAAGAATACACTTTCCACCAAAAGTATCATTTGAATGCATAATATCCTTTAATGTCCTATCAAAAGCTTCTATGCAATACCGTTGAACCATTGGTGCCTCATCCCAAATAATCAATCTAGTGCATTGAATTAAACGTGCCAAGGGAGAGTTTTGTTTAATACAACAAACAGAATCCTCTGTTATTTGGATAGGAATGGCAAACCTGGAATGCGCTGTCCTTCCAGAAGGCAATAAAGTAGCAGCAATGCCACTTGATGCAACAGTTAGGACAATCTCTCCTTTCGCACGAAGTGATGAAGACAAAGCATTCCATAAGAAAGTCTTTCCAGTTCCCCCGTAACCATAGACAAAGAAAAAACCACCATAGGGGGAGTAAACTGATGACATGACATTGTCAAAGACATGTTTTTGCTCAGAGTTAAGAGATTTTACCAACTTTGTAGCTTCTATACCCAAGGCTTGACGATCATAGTTTAATTCCTGTAGCATTAGATGATTTGTGACATCAAAGTTTGATGTTACTACTGGCAATGGAAGTGACGAAAAATCTTGCAATGACTTGCCATTACTATGAAGAAGTGAATCAATCTCACGAAGTGCAGCTTCTTCCTTTGCAACCAGTGGCACATTAATATCTACAATAATTAATAAGGTCAATTATAAGCATTAACTTATGTTGACAATGCAAATAATAAAAGATTATTTAGATTTGCAATTTACCTGACAAGGTTGGATCATTTCGTGGGATGTATAATAAATCTTCAGACAATATCTCAGAAGTATTACTCCATACAAAATCCGGCCGACTCAAGCATGAGCAAAGTAGCATAGTGACAAACATCCTTCTCAACTGAACTCCCGAAGCCCAAACTGAAGCCTCCCTAATTGCATTGATGTACTCCCTATCATCATCCAATAAACCTAGTGCAAAGCAAGCATCTTTGAAGGTTGGATATATAACACCATTAACCGTCTTAATATCATCAAATGAAGTAGGGCCCTTGACTTTTGTCAATAGTATTCTAAGGAAGTAAAGTTCTCCTGATGATGGTGACACGTGAGTTATTCTACCTACTGCAAAACCTCTTTTTCTTTCTTTCCAAGCTCTTTTATTCCTTTCATAGACATAATGATGTGGGAATTCAGAATATGTAAGAGTTTTGGCAAGATCTTGGTTACCATTCATTTCCATCCAAGCTAAAAATTGTGATTCACATACTCTTGGCTTATCTAACAACTCTGCCACGTCGTCTGTATTTGAGTAAACTATAGGTTGCTGATTTGGTAAATGAAAACTTAGTCTTTCAACAGAAGGATGTCTGTGGTGGATGTCAAATCCAAATATACGCCAGGATCCCTCACAAGCAGAAATATATCTACAGTTATAATACTGCTGAATCTCGTCACTGTTGTCATATATTGTTGCCACCACTCTATCATTTCCTTTGCTGATGTACTTAAATAAGTACTTGATAGAAGTGGAATGATTGCATTTCTCAACATTGATATGAGCTTGAAACATGGTAAGAAGGACAGAGTTATATGGGACAACAAATCTATTGTCTAAATGAATACCCTTTACTTCAATATCTCTCCCATCATTTCTTCTTTTATATGTAGGGTATCCATCTTCATCAATCACTGTTTGGTTGTTGAATTTTTTAGGGAAATATTTACTGCATTTCTTATCCTTCATGCACGGTGACTTAGGATTGCTTGTACCACATGGACCATGCATCATAAATCTCTTGACCAAATCATACAATTTTGGCGAGGTATGCTTATCTGGGATTTCTGCAAAGATTACCCTGTCGACACCATCCGAGTCATTGATTTTATCATGCTTGTCAAGGAACAAAAGTATATGGGCATGAGGTAAACCCCTCTTCTGAAATTCAATAGTATATACCTCTGTATATAAAGAAGATATAATAAGAAGAAGTCCAAACATAGAGAGATTAAAAGCTAGAAAAAATGGAGGTAATAATTTAAAAATGAAAGTAATAAATTATAAGAAAAAATATACATTTGAATAGTCATGGAATTTTACCTGCACGTATAGTTCCAAAAATTTTCTTTTCTTTAATTGTCTTCATCATCGATTTCAACTTCAATTTGAATACCCTAGATAATATATCTGGCCGATCTGATGGAGATATAAAATTTCGATCACAAAACCTAGTAATTTCTGGCCATGCTGGATTGCAAGTGAAAGTAAGAAATATATCTGGATATCCTGCCCAACGACAAATAGCCATAGCATCTTGATAATTTTGAAGCATGTATCTTGCTCCTCCTGTAAAAGAAGATGGCAAAATAATTCGCCTTCCAGTTGCACTTGCATTTCTTTCTCCATTGATCAATGCATCTGACAACCCTTGATACAAATCAACTCTAAGCTCCTTTTGATGAGTCCTGACCCATAATAGTCTTTGTGATTCAATCATTGTATATCCATCTACAATGAACTGCTGTAATAATCTACGGGCATGAAGTAATATTGATACCTCATTTTGATGGGACATAAGTCTGTAAGAGAAGTATTCTCGCATGCTGACTTTCTTTTTCTTCTTTGTTCTAGTCAATGTTTCCTCTCGATGATCAATATCATCCCTATATCCATCCTCACCAAATGGGAATAGAATAGGATATTGAAGAGGAAGATAAGATGCATGCAATTCACTAATACGTTGAGGAGATCCTGATAATTCTTCTATGATAATATCTCTCCTACCGAATGACATGTCTATATCGCCGACGACTAATGCTGCAACTTCAGAGGCAGACGGAAGATTGTAGTTACGACCATCATGCTGCCTTGTACCAATCAAGCATAACTTCAATTCATTATAGGCATGGTTTTTGATTAGTGACGAGGCCATTCGGTATTGCTTCACAAAAGGATTGAACTCATCTAAGACATCTTTAAGAAGATGAACTATAACATGATCAATCTTCAAACCTGTATGATGGTTGCTGATATAATTGAAATGCCAATGTTAGTATTCATCAAACTTTTATTATTAAATATGATAAAAATTTGAAAAAGGAAATTACCTTACTGCAGCTATTCTATTTGTAACTTCATTTTCAGTATCATAAATGTATAGTTGTGAGTACACAGGTCTAGCTCCTTCCAAGGGTAGTAAACTTCCAATCATGTGGTAATTCATTCCAGACAATATAAAAGAATAAGGACCACCACCAGAGTTAATTGAATGGTTGATCTTTCCACCCATAGATGTAAATGAAAACATGTTGTTGTATTGTCTTATATTTGCTAAGAAATCCTTTGAATGCATAGACTTCTTGTCAAAGAATAGTCTCTCTAACATTGGTGGCGGTGGATGTATGGTTGGTAATACAACCTTGCCCTTAAGGCAACAAATTGAGAATTCCATGGTTCTTCTAAATGTGTCTTTTTTGACACGCTCATTCAACCATAGTTCAGCTCCACAAAATATGCATATCTCAGTAGGATCTCCTTCATCTATATATTCTATATATTATTGTTAATAAGTTAGTACTTATTACTCAAAGTGATGCAAGATTAGAATAAATATTGTTCTGATAAAGATTTAAAAAAAATGATATAATATATTGATAACTTATATGTTGACATAAAGGGAAACCAATTAAGATGAGTGATAAATAGAAATCATATTAAATCAAAAAAAGAAGAGGTATAAAAATACAGTGTTACAAAATGCTCATAAATAATAGTTTCTTTAAAAAATACAATTGTAGGTACCAATTAAAAATAAATATATTCATGAATATATTTGACATTATAAATATAATTGATTTTATCTATGAAAGGTTTGTGAAAGACCTTTAAATAGTGGTTGAAACATCATGTAATGAGGTGGCTACTTTTTTAATGATAGGCTAATGTATTTTGACATATTAAAAAGTTTTTATGCATATAATGGAAAGTTTATGGAGATACGCAATTTACACAATTCAAAAATACCAAAGTGTAAAATATAATGTTTATAACACATAAGCAATTAATTATAAAATTATAAGTAACAGTTCATAATATTATGATGAAGATGATAAGCATTATACCTGGTGCAATGCCTTCCTTTTGATTATCCTCAGTGTTATGATTTTGTATGGTGTCTAATTCATCTAGAAAAAATGTAAAAAAAAAAAAAGGTACAAAAAAAATAGAACTTATTCATAAAATAATATTTATATATTTATAAATTGAGATAATATATTTTTAACATATAAATCATAAAGTAATTACTTATCTAAAAATAACTTAAATAAATGGAAACATATATTACCTCCAGATTGTCCATTGGAGTGTTCGCTATCATCATGAATTTCGTCATTATTAAAATCATAATTGAATTGAAAATCTTTATATTTGATTTCAAGACCTGTAAGAAAACAATTCATGCATCATGGAAACTAATATGAAATGTTCTTGCAATAACAATGACAATAGTCTTACCTGTTGAGCGAGAAGGTTGGTCATTGATCCTAATATTATTTGGATTCATGATAACTGCAAATAATTAGGTTGACCTTGTTCATTCAATTCATTCAATGTATAAAATAATCAAGTGATGTAATAAAATATTTATTTAAACATTGAATTTACAGTGGGGATGTGACTATACCTTTTTCTGTTTTGTGCTTTCTATTACTGGATTTTCCAATTGATATTTGTGTAGTGGTTTCATTGCTAATGTTTTGGTTACCAATCTCAATAGCTTTGAACCTAGCACTCTTTCGCTGATAAACATTCTCTTCCAAATATGAACATGAAACCCAACCAAATGATGTTTCCAATTAGTTATGCAATGTAAAAGATGATGAGGAAACAGTATGTGGAGATATTGTAATAGGAAAACAAAGATATTAACTTAAACCATATGTTCACCTGCCTTCGGTATGGTCTGAAATCTTTGACATAAATTTTTTGCTACATTTGTCAAGTCCTTCAAAGCTTTTCTTTTCTGTCTAGTTTTTAACCCTTTTTTCATATCTTGTGAGAATATTGTATTTGACTGTGTACATCGAAAACTGCATTCTGGGCTGGTTAGACAAGTTGAGATATTTTGAATGGATTGAGGACTATTGCCAGGTTGCAAGTTATCTATCATCAGCAAAGACAAGATATACTTGAGACAAGCTTGAGGTATATGTGAATGCATTTTAGTGGTTACAAAATAAACATACCTGCGACAGTTTCAGAAATGATGCTTGTGCATCTATCTTCTTGTGTCTGTGTTGCTTCATTTTCTGAGAAAATGATTCTTCTCTTCCTCGGCATTATGGAAAAGTGAAACTGTTTGGGGCGTTAATCTGAAACAGGAGGAGAAATAAGCCTTGTCTGAAGCGTATGAGCATCTGTCATGTGTGAATAAAAAACAACTTGCTTCAAGAGATGCATGTAATATGTTTGTTTCCCATTTTTTTAGTTCACAGAACCCATGACGTGTGAAAGTGACAGCACTTGGTAGCATTCTGAAATTTCATGTAAAGATATATATATATATATATATATATTATAAAGCATGTAGTTTGCAAACTTAAAGGTGGGTCAATAGAAAAAGTGTTTTTTCGTTTTTATGTAATTGGCTCAATAAGGTTGTCAAGTTCATAGGTCAAAGCAAGTATCCTTTCTCATTTGTCCCTTCAGTGTTTTCAATTGGGCCATCAATCCATAAAGTTTGTCCTAACTATCTACTTGTTATAATAAAAAGTTAACTTGAGTGCATGTTCCCATAAAGGATAAAGCGATTTAGAGTATCCCATAAGATATGTTAAAAACCATCAAATTTCAATAAAGGTGATAGTAATTTCAAAAGATAATATAATTTTCAAAAAAACATGATGGATGGTAATGTTCCAAAGCCATATAGATGTATAATTAGCATTAAATCAGTAGGCCTTACTTAGGTGTCATTCCAGCAAAATATGTGTTTATTTATTTAATTAATTATCCAAAAACATATAATTGGTTATTAATTTATTGTCCATTTAATTGATATTTGTCTTGATTCCAATGCTAATTAAGCACAGATTAATTCTCATTTCTCTAATCCTTATCATCATTTTATTCATCATTAAGTACTTTGAATATCTTTCCTGATGATCTGTTGAAGTGTTAATTAATATCAGAGTTTAAACACTATAGAATACTTTAAAAACAACAAAATTAAACTAAAAATAGCACACTCTTTGATAACAATAATTTGGTTCTAATACATGACACAATAACATAACAACGAAGCTAAGGAAATAAGGAAGAACTAAACACCAACAACATTGAAAGTCTTAAACTAAAACATAACAACCACGGACACTAAAGAACATAAACTAAACAACAATAAACATTAATACATAAAGTGCAGTCCTAGCTATAAGCTGGTATTCTACACTACTTTTCTTGCTTGATAGCTTTAATTGGCTTTGGCAGCGAGGCAAAAGATGCATGCACTTGAGAAGACTTTTCAATCTCATCAACAACAGCAGATCTCTTCATAGCATTTCTCCTCTTTCCCTTCATGTAGGTGGTGGAAGGGACAGTTTTTGCAGCAATCAGTTGAGACACATCCATCTCATCAAGCCCAGCATTAATATCATTACTATGGAAGTCAGTTGGTGAATCTTTGGCATCATTGTCAACAACAATAGGGTTTTCCATGTTTGTCTTTTCTCCCTATCAAATGGAAAGGATGTTTAGAAATACATAAAACATATGATATAAGATTAAGTATAGACAAAATTATGTCACCTTAACTACATCTTCCTCAGTAGAAACTTCTTTGATACCTTCACCAATACCTCCATCAGATTGTTCTTCTACCTATATAAACAATAAGGTGCATCACTTAAAAACTAAATACTCATAAATGGCTAACTCCCTAACAAACACTTAATAGATCGTATTGTATATTATAAAGGAGTGTAATAAAAATTACATCAACTGCTTCAATGAATTGATTCATTAAATCGCCACATTCAGTATACTGAAGTACACTGATACTTGAAGATGGATATTCTTTATTGTAGCCATTAAGTTTCAACTTTAATAGCATTTTCCTGCCAACCAGCTGATCCAACTCATATGGGAAGTCATAGGATCGCTTATCCTTCAAGTAAATTAATGTCTTGGTTAGAAACTAATAACTTTATTCAACTATACATACACAACACTAAATAGGAAAACATGTATACCTCATGAAGAATGACCTTAAGCTCTGTTGCTGTTTGTCCTAATAGTTGTATAGCCAACTTGTCCCAGAAAACAACATTAACCTTACCAGTTTCATCTTCCACTGTATAGTGTAATTTCAGCCTATAAAAAGGAACAAATTAATCAAACTTAACATGAACCAATCAAGAAATTTGAGATTTTAAATTAGACTTGTTCCAGTTATATATATATCATAAATTGAATTAGATATTTACTTTGTCTCAATAGATGCAGGTTTCTTTTTACACAATGGGCAATACAAAGAACCATTCTGAGGCTTAGGCTTAGATGCACATTTTGAACACCCATCATAATTCCAGCCATTTCGAGTGTCCAGCTTGATAATCACACAGCTTATCAAGAAACTTGATTCCTACAATGTTAAGGAGATAGTATCATTATCTTTCCTCATGTACATGTTTGACTTGGAAAGTGAATATACTAACAGCTGGTTGGTCATGAATTTGGGCAATATTTATTTTCCTTGTGTTTCTCATCATATTGGATGCTAAAGTTTGAGTTGATGGTTGGCTGATGCTCTGAGCAGAGGTACATATCATTGGTGATGTCATCTCCTTCACACTAATCATAATATAAATGTGTAGGTGATCATTAAACATGTTATATAAATTATTCTTTTAGGTCGACACCCACAAAATTATTAATCAAACTAACCTATCCATCATCTCCTTCACCTCTTTTATGGCCAAATTATAAAGAACCCTAGTAGCATTAAAAGAGCTGGATATTTGAGGTCTCCCTGTCACAATATAAAGTTACTTAATTTATTAGTATGATTGAACAAATACAAAGTTAGAAAATGAAGGAACCAAATACTGTCATTACCATCTTCAGTGAAGCCTATTCTGCACAGATTGATAACAACCACAATAGGGCCTTCTTTATGTTCAAGTTGTGCCATGTATGCATTAGTAGAGCATTCATCATATAGAACTAACTCGACATCATTATCACTATAGAATAAAGATGCAAGAATGATGGTCATCAATATTTAGTAAGTGCTTGAACATAATGTCATAATAGGCAAAAGAAAGTGAAAAGAAATGTAAGAAAAATTGAGCATACTCCTTGCCCACCAACAACATGCGGAGTTTGTGCTTAGTCTCATTATCCTTGCGATACTCCTCAAGATTACTTATCTTCTTCAAGTAACCTATGACATCTGCAAAATAATGGATTTGGAGTTAGATATTTATGTAATACACCTTATATAAGAAACAGTACTTGCATGGAGCAAACTCACCAAATAGATGGTCAATCATTTTTTCGTCAGTGACTTTCTTGATCTTGGATATTGGAAAGAATGAAAATAAGTCAGGAATTGACGCTGCATCTTCCCTTATATATGTTTGCTGGCTGAATGCTATCTTAAAAGGATGAGTGGTTGCTCTAAATTGGTTTTCATTTTTAGATAGCACAAAGTTGGCAATAAAGTAAACATGTCCTTCCAAAGGGAAAGATCTAAACTGATCATGAAGGCTCTTGTTCAAGACACTTACTTGAATCTTGTTCCCCTGTGAGAAAAAATGAGGCATATCTATGAAAGGCAAGAAATAATGGAGAGATCAATGGAAGTAGCATTAAACATTATACAGATTTAAAATGAGTAAACAGTATCATATAAATTACAAGGCACCTCAACGTCAACTAAGATCATGGTTATGCAGAATAGTTCATTGGGTGCTGATTTATGGAAAACATTCCACTTCCTGTGGATTCGAACGATAATTTTCCACCTATCAGTACCATCATGCAGCTGGCTAATCAAAGAAGTTGTAGACATTGTTTAGAGTAGGCAAGTGTTATATGGAAGATAGTGATTAGAAGGGTATGAAGAAATGGAGGCTGTATATGCAAGGTTATATAGATGTAGAAGTGCATTCCATTTGGTGGGGAAATTATAGTGAATTAGGATAATTTCTATTATATATTTTATCATTTTTATTTAATGAATTAGAATTAGAAGTATATTCTGGAATTTATGCACAAATATGGTAGCTGACAATACATCTATTGAAGCATGAAACAGCAGGGGTATCATGAAATGGAAAAAGATTGTGTGTCCTGAGTATTTAGGCATCTTTCAGTGATAGGACAAAACATTTAAAAGAAGTTGACCATTGATTTTGAAAAGATATTTAGAATGGATATGATAGAGCAATGGATGTTGTATATAGTAAAGAAGAGTGAGTTTTAACCTTTTTCTGTACAAACACGTAAAGGATATGAATAAAGACATTGAGGAGTGTAAAAATAAAATATTCACACATTCCAAAGATATCAGTGGCAATACATGATTACTTTAGAAACTGGCAATACATGTATTGAAGCATCATACAGCAAGGAAATATGAAAATAGAAGGTGGCCTGCTATTGGAAAGGCCAAAATAATGAAACTCTTTCTACACTAAAAGCTGCAATAAGAACAATGCAGATTAAGCTATTACAACAGGCAATGAAATGATAAGGAAAAGGGATGAAAAGTTATTTCACGATAGGTAGTGTAAAGTTAAGAACTACCTAGAGATGGCCAAACTTTTGTTTGATTCATCATTAAGATTCATGCATGGAAAGAACATCCAAGATAGCAAAATGTTATAATAAGTAATTTACTTTCCGCATACTATTTCAAGTATGTGGAGAAACCATTAAACATTAACTTGATCATGGTTTAAGAATAAAGTTTGAAAAAAACATGAAGTATAGAACCAAAATATTAAGTTATATCTTACTTTATGTCTGGCCAACTATTAACATTTCCATTGGAGTATCCTTAAGTGATAAAAAGGAAAGATAGAGTGTTGTAAGGCAAAGTTCAGGTTGCAATAGAGTATGAGTTAATATATGTTTCAAAAAAAAATCATAAGTATTGTCACCTATAAATCAAATACCATTAGGTTGATAGATCGTGATCACTTCGGATAACCAAGATCGAGCTCATAGACTTCTTGGCCAACACAAGCATACATCTGATCTACTTTGATGAGTATATGCCAGGTTATCTTGGTTCGATCAAGATTGTTGAGTAGAACAAAATGATTTTTGTCTAATGCATTAACGTTATAGGCATCCATTCTGGGTTAGACAAAGGGAAAATAGAGAAGGATTAAATACAAAAAAATATATGGCCTTTGTATTAAAAAAAAAGTGAGCAGATGTCCTAATCAGGGGGTATGGTTAGATTGTGTTGAACTATAAGACCAGCAAATAAGGACAGAAATTGTTATAATAACTAAGTAAAAAAACATGCAAATAAATCAAGAGAAAATACATCATATACCAGTAAATACATTAACTTCACCCAGCTTTCAGACTGCAAGATACAACCCTAGGACGAGTTCGAGAAGAAGATGGAACGGGCGACGGCCGAATAGAAAAACAATCTCAAGACAGCTTCAAGGCTTCCATCGAGTTAGGATAATCATGCAGGAGGCTCCCAAAAACTATTTTAGAGTGACATTTCTGACCGATTGAAAGAGAAGGGCACCGTAGGGTTGGTGGAAGCAGAGTAAATTAGGGAGAATCTTGCCAAAAGAGAGAAAGGGTAGTGAATGGAGACGTCAAAGTGAGCTGCACGATTCAAACAGTGGGTAGTGTCAAATACTCTCAAATATTGGAGATTTTCTTTACACAATGTATACTGGTATAATTCAATGGATAAAACTTTGCATCCTCACTTTATCGTACATATTGAGGTGACTTCACCCATAGCAAGTAAAACACCAAAAATGCCCATCAGCCCCTTTGCTTTTTTGTAAGCTGTGAAGGAAGACATATTTCAGCTCTCTTGGAAATGCCGTAAATACCCCCATTTTACTGTTCATAAGCATTAAGTTTTGGAACTGTTATATATTATATATTGATAACAGACAAATTTTTATAAATTAAATTTAAATTATTCTCACACTCGTCCAAATTATAAGAAATTTTTGTTCAACTCATCTTGATTCAAAATATAAGACACTTAATAAGTTTAAATTTTTTTATTTTACCTTTATATTTATTAACTTGATTTATTGTGATACCGTATTTGTATTTATTACATTTTTTTCACTCTTCAGCTAAAATTGTATTGGTCTATCAGGAAGTTAATGCTTTCTCATATTATAACACTTCATTAAAAAAATTATCTCTCTCATTTAATTTATTATTAAAAGTGGAGGACATGGTAAAAAAAATTTATGATATTTATAATTAAAAATTAAGATATAACTAAATTTTATCGGTATTCAAATTATAGTTATAAATGTCTTGTATTTTAAACCGAAAGAGTATGTTTTAAAAATTATATAATAAATTAACCTCAAAACTTATAAATATGAGCAAGTAATTTATTTTAATTAATATTTTTATTAAAAGTAAAATTAAAAACAAAAAAATCTAAACATTTTTTGTAAAAAGACGCAAGGGTTGCTGGTTAGGTGGAGAGAGCCCAATAAACTCTGCCTTGAAATGGGCTAAAAAATTCCAGCACAACCCACTAAATCATATTCCATGATTTATTGCCAAAGTTTGCTTCCCCAAAGCCTCTCAAAAAAAGTGATAAACATGCGTGGCACAGGGTCGCAGGCTCGCAGCCCAGGGCTTCCGAATGGCCCCACAAAAGAAGGGTGAAAAAGCAGATGCCACAGCGACACTCGTCTCGATCCTTCAATTTCATCTACAACGTTCCTCCATCTTCCACGTGTCCCACCACGTCTTCTCTGGACGCCACGAGGCTTCCCTCGCCACCAAGTGTCGCCCACGCTCCCGAAAATTCTGCTCATACTTATTAACATTAATTCGGGTCGGTCCCAATCAACGAACAATCCATCGAGAATTAATCCGATCGACGATCCAATGGCTAGCGACGGAAGCGAGGAGTTCAGGCTGGTTTCTCCGACGATAAACAACGAAGGCAGGATCCCGAGGCATTACACGGACGAAGGACAAGGCGCCAAGAAGAACGTGTCCCCACCCTTGGAGTGGTACAACCTCCCGCAGGGCACCAAAACCCTTGCTCTCGTTGTGGAGGACGTGGATGCTCCGGATCCCGAGGGGCCCATCGTTCCCTGGGTGCACTGGGTGGTGGTGAATATCCCGCCGACAGTGAAGGGTCTGCCGGAGGGATTCTCCGGCAAGGAGGAGGAGCTCGGTGGTGAGTATGCTGGCATCAAAGAAGGCAATAATGACTGGAAGATCCCTGGGTGGCGTGGCCCCAGGTTGCCTAATCATGGACATAGGTTCGAGTTCAGGCTTTACGCTTTGGACGATGGGCTTCATCTCGGTAACAAGGTATTATTATTATTACCCGCTTGTGTCCGTGTGTGTGTGTGTATATATATATATCTAGTATCTTATCGATATATGTTTATGTACATGCACGAAATTATGGATCTATATAGGTAATTAAAGTACAGGAGCTTGCTTGTTCTTGATCAAAATCCTTTTGTGATTTGTTCCTGCATGCATGATCCTGTGTGTAAGAACAAAGTTGTGAGATTTGATTTTTCTGATATGGTTGTGGGACTGAATATATGTAATAGGTAACGAAGGACAAGCTTTTGGAGGCTATAGAAGGGCACGTGCTGGGGGAAGCGGTGTTTGTGGCTAAATTCTGACCTCGGATTGTAAAAATTGAAATAATATTGTGTTGAATGCAGAGTCTTTAATTAGAGTTTTTGTACTGATTTTGAAATATGATATCAGTCTAACAAATTAATTATTAGATCTTAATCTTCTCCGTTTCCAAGTTAATTTCTTCTTTCTTATATAATGAGTTAAAGTATTCAGGGAAAACATAATCTTTAATTTTATCATATTTTGTTTTTAGTTCCTGTCCTATAATTTTTATAACAATTAATTTGAAAAACAAAGGATGCACAGTCTTTCTAAACATATATATATATATATATATATATAGGAACTGAAAATATTGAAAAATTAAAAAAAAACTGATGAAAAATCAATGATTGTGTTTTCTTAAGTATTTTAGTATTGATGTTGGAAAGTATTGCTATGCAGGAGTGCATGATTGATGAATAATTAATTCAGTAAATTAATTAAATTAACCATGTTAGGAAAGTATTTACGTGAAAGGGAGAATATTTACCCAAAAAAAGGGAGAAACAATTTTTTTATATGAAAGAAAAAGTTTAAGCAAGTTGGGTTATGAGAATTCACTAACTCTAAGGTACGTTTCAAATGCCTATAAATATTTCAAATGCCTAAAAATATATATTTATAGATTGCTCACTAATATAATCTTATGGATTATGAGTTTTTAACATTGGATTAATCTTTTTAAAAGTAAAAGATAAATAATTTTAGTAAGTAAGGTGGTTTACTTCTTTTAATCACCGAAACATCAAAGACAAATATAGAGAGGAAACCAAATTGTAATTTCCTGGGAAGAATGACAATCTCAAAGGGCCCTACCAGCTCGAGCTCATGCCCAAATGTTTTAGCTAAAGGATGAAACCATGAGACACGAGCGAGCCAGTGAAACCAAATTGTAACTTAAATGCGTGGAATTGGGATATGAATGGGATAATTTTTCTACTCAATCGAAAGGATGAAAAAATTGTGAATTACTTAATATTATTGGTTTTAGACTTCATAAAATAGAGGTAAAATAATTATTTGTGGGTTAAAATAAATTTCGTAAATTTTAGATTGGGTGTATATAATTTCTTGAAATTTTAAATTAAACAATTGACGCTCTTGCAGTTTTATATTTATGCAAATATTTTGTAGTGCTAATTTTTTTTTTACTCGTGTACTTTAAAAGAGTGTAATGTGATCTAGGGTTCATTTTATGATTTCAAATTTAGGAAAAAAATATATATTTCTATTAAAATTTGAGGGGTTATTCAGAAGGGGGGGAGTTTAAAGGAGGTCTCTGGTTACATGTTCCATAGCTATTAAAATAGAGAAATAATCAATAGTAATTAAAGTTTATTTGTATATAATTAAAATTTCCCTTGTAAGATTCTTGAAAACTTTTAAAATTTAATAAAATTATTTTATTTAATTTGGAATTTAAGGAAGTTTTGTATAATTTAATTTGTTAACAAAATAGAAGTTGGGAAATAACAAAGTACCTATAAGGAAATTAAACTAAACTAAAGACTTTTGAGTAAAATTCTTGAAACTTCAATTGTAAAGTGTCCTCGTAAATTCTTGAAATTTTAATTGTGATTTTGATATATATTTTTTTTCTTAGGGTCACACATTTGTCATTCTCCCTATGCGTGTTACTGGGTCGTCGTCTTGTTTTTTTCCCCTAATACCAAATAATGGGACTCATGTGGCTACATTTCATGTTCAATAATGGATGAGAGTGGGAGTGAGAATTGGATACGGATTCAAAAGCTTATTTGGTATGTCAATGGAATGCTAATATAAATCTCCATTTGATATTTATAATAAAATAGTAAAGTACCATTTTATCCTTAACCTAAACACAGGCACACACCCAACCAACCACCACTGTGCACAAATCGTGACCAAGAACAATGGGTTAAACTCCTTGCTTGCTTGGTGTCCTGGAACAAACCTTTTTCTCCTCAAGCCCTTATCGTGTTTTTTTGGGCCAAAAAGCCAGCATCTTTTTGAAGGAAGCTCATCTTAAAATAATAATAATAATAATTTTAAATTCTTACATTTTATTAAAATTTTATTATAAATTTTTATATTTTTTTAATATTTTGAGTCTTACTTTTTTATTTTTTTATTAATATTCTAAATCTTTACAACATCATTTATGAAAGGACCTACAACGCAAAAAAAAAATATATAAAGATTTATAATAAAACTTTAACATAATATAGAGATTTAAAGTTATCTTTTTTCTTATTTTAATTAACATGATATAATTAATCACTTTCTCTCTCCATTTTAGTCTCAAAGCAAAGGCCTCTCTCTCTCTCTCTCTCTGTGATAAACCCTCACTCATAACTGGATTGTGTATATACACTTGAAAATAGACAATGATAATCGGTGGCCCACGGCATGGAACACAAGAACTTGATGAAATTAAAGATGCAGTGGTTGCACAAAATGCCTTCACCGTTGGCCATTCTAATACACTGTGAGGAAAGTCAAGCGATAGGAGATCAGAAACTGCTTTTGAGAATGACCTTTAATCAGAGAACGTGGCCATTTGGCCAAAATATCTCATGAGTGATTTAATTTAAATATATATATATATATATATATCTCCCGGCCCGAAAGTGCCTCATTTTAAATATTAAATATTATAATAGAATGAACAGTGAATTAGTAATCCTAGCTAGTGGGGACATATAACGTGATGCATGGAAGCAAAGATGAAGTGGGAGGACTTGTAATGAGGAGACACGTAACAAAGAAAGGGGACCCACCATCCAAAGATTGTTGGTACAAAAGGCACCGCGTTTTCCGATTTGGACTCCGGACGCTTCCTCCTTCGTTCCTTGTCACCACTTTTCTCTTTTGTTTGTTTCCAGGCCCATTCTTTGACCACTCTCAATAACCTTCATTTCTTTTAACCATCCTCAAATGATCGAATCCCATGCATCTTTCTCTGCATAGTAACTTGAGATTAAAGCTAAGACCAGTCTTATTCTTTTACGAACAAACTACGAGGCAGCTGTGATTTGTCCCACACTTGGTGCACTGTAACATATTAACGAGTGAAGCCTTCCATGTCTTGCTCGTAAGGCCTTATTACTAGGCAAATAACGCTGTTGCGTTAGGCCTCCAAGATATTCACTTTTATCTTACATAAACGGTTATTATTTTACTCATTAAATATTATTATTAATTACATATTTTCATAAAGAATTTATTGCTTGCATATATCCTATATAATCAGTTATTATTTTTTATAAGGATTTTCGATCAAAAAGTTACTAAAGTACACTTGAAAGGTTACGAATAACCTTAAACTTAATTATGATTTATTTACATTTTTTGATTTTAAAAAATTATTATTTCATTACTTTAACATTAACTTACCAAACACCTCTGTCATTTGAGTTTCACATTTAAATTTTTTTAATGTTTTTTATTATAAAATGTTGTTTGGGGGCCCTATAATTTATTTTTTTTAATTTCTCCTTCTCTCTCCTCTCCCCCCTCTCTCTACTGCCTAATCTGTTCGACAATTGATTCTCATGGATTCCCATTTTTTTGTACAACTTCCCATCCACTTTGTCGCCAAACATATATATATATATACACACACACATGCATGCATGCATGTATGTATAAAGATATGCATAATGTAGAAGAAGATTAAGTTGGTAGATATGAGGTTTCGGAGAAGCTTCTTAGACTTGTGGAAGTAGATGTTGCCAACCTAGAACACGAAGTTGTGAGATGACTCATCCATATTGAAAAGAAGAACCACGCAGACATAAACGCTAGAGCGCCCAAACTTATCAACTTTGTTGTGTTCTCTCTCCCTTCAATCTTGGTTGCTGACGTCCTCTCTCTCACACACAAATATTGTGTGTGTGTGTGTGTGTGTGTGTGTGTGTGTAACGCATGCAACTATCGTGTCTTTATCATGCAAGCATTGACAGGAAGGAGAAGGAGGAACATGTGTCTCCATGCAAGCATCGACCATCTCTTCTTCTCCTTTCTCTTGGTCACTTCACCTCTATTTTTTATTAAAAGAACAGAGATTAAAAAGGAAGAAGAGGTTAAAAATGGAT